ATGCTTAAACCACACCACTGGAATTCTTTTTGTTGACGCTATCTACCTGTTAGGTTATTAAATCAGTCTCTAATCCATCTAATTTGGACAGCAACCAGGCCGTATTTCTCCACCCAATTTCTTTAAAAATATTTTGTTCAATTATGGAGAATGTGAAATATGTAAAAAAATTTTTGAAAGAGAACATTCATATAGCTACTATCTAAAATTTTTTTAAATGTATATTTTACTTTTAAATTGGAGTCTAATTGATCATTTTTTAATAATACTAATCAGTTCATGTCTTTTCTTTTTTTTATACTACCCTACTTTCCAAATTATAATGATGTTTGTCTATATTTTCCACCACATTTAGGCCTTTGGTCAATTTGGAATTTATTTTTGTGTCTGGTGTGAGGTGGGGGTCTAACTGTTCTTCTAATTCAAAACACAAACTTCCCAACATCACAAATTGAAAAGTTAATGTTTCCCTTATTAATTTCTTATGTCAAAGCTGTCAAATACCAAAAACTGAATTTATTTGGGGGCTATTTTGTCCCATAGTTTTTGTTTGTTTGCTTATTTGTTCATCTTGTTCTAGTATCCCAAAGTTCTAATTAGCATAATTTTACAAAAGGCCTCAATACCAGGTAGAGTAAGTCCCTACCACTTATTCAACTTTTTCAAAAATTGTTTATTTTTTTAAAAAACCAGTACTATTGGCATTTTAATTGGATTTGTATTAAATTTATAATTGATTTGTTAAGTGATGGCAACCATCATTTCCCATCCATAGTGTCGTTTGTCTAGGGCTTTAAAATATTCCCTCTCTAATGTTTTATACTTGTCTTCAAAAAGACTTTTAAAATGTATAGATTACCAGGCACCTTAAAGTTTCTATTGTATGTGTAATTTGTTTATAAATTTCCATTTTCCATCCATTGTTACTGTTGATCTGTGTATATGGATTTCATAACTAGCAATCTTGCTGAATTCTTGATTGATATCAACAGCTCTGGAATGTCTGGAATTTCCATTAGCAATCACATTATCTAAAATGATAATTTTCCTCTTAGTGTCTTTCTTATTTTATTGCATTGGCAAGAACCTCTACACAATGTTCTATAGATGTGGTGATAACAAGAAATCCTTATTTTGTGCCTGCTTTCCAAGGCAGGACAAGTACACAAAAAGATTTATTCAGTGTTAATCTAGTAAATTTCAGGGATAAATCTGATCAGGTCACGATTTGTTGTTATTATATACTCTGAGGTATTAGACTTGCTAATCTTTTAGGATTTTCATGAGTATGTTGTTAAATGAAATTGGTTTCCTCTTTGTACTGTTCAGTTTTGTCAAGGTTCACATGGTAGGCACAGTGAACTGTCTTCCCAGCAGTCACCACCCATTTCCTTCTTTCTCAGAAGCAGGCCATGCCTCTCTCGAACATCTTTCTCCTTTTCGGCAGGGAGGAAAATCTTATATCTCATTGGTCTGAAGTAGGTCACATGGCCATGACTAAACGCAAAGGTGTCTGGGAAAATGAGAATCCTTTCAACCCATGAATTATTTATTAATGTTTATATTTCTAAATGATGAGAAAGTTAATTTTTTGTTATCAGTTTCTTATCATAATGTTTTATAATCAGCAAACAGAATTCACAAGATGCTGATTTTCTGGTGTTTGTTGAGATTGATTTTTGGCTTAATTTGTAGTCAGTTTTTGTACCTTTCCATGTGTTTTTGGAAAACACTTCCAGAGTCTATTAATAAGTACAAGATCAGGCTTGTAATTCTTTTCTCTGTTTGCTAAATTGTTTGTCTACTTGATCTATCAGCTTATTAAAGAGGTATGTTAAAATCTCCTGTTCTACCATTAGACAACTTGTGATTTTATCAATGTTGCCACAAAATTATGAGCTATGTTCAGGTTTAGGGTTTAATTCACAGCCTTTATCGTGACCACTGACATATTGCAATTTATTTTACCATCAAAATTTATGTTTTCTATTTACCACAGTTTATAGTCTTCTCTCTTTGCTTCCCCTGCCTTCTATAAGTTTTTCCTTGAGGTTATATATTATTTTACTGTTCCTTTAGAGGTTCCATTACATTTTTTTTTAAGATTTATTTATGCATACAAGAACTGGGGTACAGACCAGAGGTCTGTGTGTGTGTGGGGGTGAGAGGATCCACCAGAGACAGAGTAGGGAGCAGAGCAGACAGATGTACTGAAATACACTGCTGAGGGGAGCAGCAGGGAGACAGGAGAGGTCTGCTGCACCACGTGGGTAGCTCCATAGCAGGGGATCGAACTTATGCTGCAGTGGCTGTGGAAGCTTCACAGGTTGTGTCTTAATCCCTTGCACCACCAGGGAGGCCCGGTTCCATTACATTTTGAATACACATACCTGCCTTAACCTTTTTTAATTAACCAATATCCCTCTGTGCTTTCTAATTAATATTAGCAACCTTGAGTGATTTTTAAAACATAATTACTACCTTCTCATCTTCTATGTTATAATTATCTATTATCTAAATTCCACAAATATGCCCCTAACTACTCATTATATTTTTCAAACTTTTTATGCTCACTCAGATTTACATAGATGTTCACTGACTTCTTTGTCATTTATTACCTCTAGATCCCTCTCCTTATTCTCAGCTTCTTGGGTTCAGATTCCTTCTACTTCAAGGAGTTCTTTCAATGTGCATCTCCAAGGCGCAACCTCTGTCTTTTGTCAAAAATTATTTTTATGCATAATTCCCAGTTCTAAGCTCCCAAGGTCACATTTTTTTAAAGACTTATTTATGCATACAAGAACTGGGGTACAGGCCAGAGGTGTGGGGGAGTGAGAGGATTCACCAGAGACAGAATGGGGAGCAGAACAGGCGATTGATTGAAATACACTACTGAGGAAAGCAGCGGGCGAGACAGGAGAGGTCTGCTGTGCCATGTGGGTCAGCTCCCTGGCCAGCCAGGGATCGAACTAGTGCTGCAGTGGCTGCCAATAGCTTGATAGCACTGTCTTTAAACCCTGTGCCACCAGGGAGGTCCCCAGGGGTCACATTTCCTGTCCCCTATGAGCATGTCATCCCAGCCCTTAGCTGTCCAGGCTTACTTGGTTCTGACATTCCTCTTCCTTCCAATTAGCTCATCTGCTTTCCATTCTGCTTTGAGTTTCCTCTCTATTCCTAGTACCTGAGGATTTCCCTTTCTTTGTTTTGAACTCAATTTTATATTGTTATATTTCATCCTGTGTTTGTCATAGGCGGTGGGGGAGGGTCCAACATTAATCTTTTTAGTTACTATTACTGGAAGTCCAGATATCCTATTTATAACAAACTTCCCTCTTACTGATGTTTATTATTCTCCTTTAAAATAAATACCATATATTTTGATAGAGAAAACAGACATGACAGAGACAGCTGGATACTTCTTGTGGAAAAGTTATAAAGCTTTCTAAAATTTTTCTTGAATCTGGTACATGGGGAACATTCCCCAGGCAATAACTTGGGAAAATATAATCGTCCACCAAGAAATGGAATTTTCCATAGGTTTTTATCTATTTTCTTGTACCCACGCACTTCTCTTTGCTCTACATAGGTGATCTCCCTGCTCAAATTTTGATTTAGACCCTCCGCAAGAAGAAAGCATACTGAGAAACCAGTCTCTGTAAGGAAGCCATCCCAGGCCAGACCCGGAGCTCAGCTACTCCTGCAAATCAATAGCTGGCTGGAGGCTGACCTGCTTCCAGATCCTGGGAATTCAGTGGCTCATAGATGAACAGGATCAATCTCATTTGCATTTCATCGTGACTCAGGAATTCCCTGCACTGCATCCCTGGGCAGATGAAAACGCGGTGGCTTAATCATCCTAAGCCCTTCACTGTCAAGCTACTGGCCTGAGAGATTGCTACACATGCTACTGAAAACATCCAAGTCTCCAGCAGGAAGGAACAGGCCACTTTAGACTGCAGGAGGGCCGAGGCCATGTGAGGATGGTGAAATCCAAATATGGCTCCTTTCAGAAAAGGCACCGATCACAGTCAAGGAAGAGAATGAATAAATACTCACAAGTGTCGGTGGCTCAACAGAGGGACTGTCCAGCTATTCTGCTGGAAATGTTTTATGAATAATCACATATGGGCCAATCAGAGAGGCCACAGGTGGGGTAAAGAATGTTCATGGGAACGATAGCAAAGAACAGACTGGTCGTGTACTGGTTCATGGCGGTAGACGGTGACTTTCAGTAAAATATATCCCATGTGACACGTGACTCAAATGCTCAGACCTAGAAAGGAACTGATGGAAGAAAATGGGGTGGCTGTTGGAGGACTGTGAGAAGCCCCAATAATCAGTGATGCCATTAGTGCTGAGAAAATAGTACAAGATTAAAGAACATATTTTGCAAAGCGTAAATGATAGTCTTGATTAGTGCTGGGTTTTAATCCTCGACTTTTTACCCCTTCAAAAGGACAGGTGACAACCTCTGCCCTGGGAAGGATGGTCCACCTGAGAAACGGAGATCTGAGACGTCAGCATCACATGTCACTCTGGTCACAGTGACCATTCACTTCGTCACTTCTCTTAGTGGACACCTATGTGGCCGGTCACTCAGTAAGTAGAAATCTTAGCAAGTCAAGACCCCAACGGCACACTGCAACCTCAACACTTTCCACAATGGACAGGCACGGCCATTTTTTCCTACGACTAATACTGACAAGGGAGAAGACAGCCTTTTAATCCTCTCGATCAGATTTCACCTTAAAGGGAGGGGTGGGAGAAATGAGGCACCAGCACCCCATAATGAAGATGTAGCTGAGGCCCATTTTGCAGAATGAAGGGGATTCTGGTCTTGAAAGCAAGTGGACCGGTAGTGGTAGCTGGTGCACTCAAGATTTTCCAAGTCACCTGTTGAGCCCAGACACTCTGTGTCTCTGCCCCGTGTGTGTGGGGTCAGGTGGGAGGGCTCCTGTGGAGTGAGCGAGCAGAGGCGGAGGCCAGCCGCCTTGACTTACCTGTTGAGATACACCCGCTTCTCGGTGAACTGCCCGTTGCCATGGTGAGGGTCCTCGAAGGGCTCATTCTGGACCACCTCCACCCCTTCTCCTCGGTCGCTCTGTTCGTGGCTGTGCTTGCTGATCATATACAGCTGTCCAATCTTGTACTGCAAAACACACAGACACGCGGGTCAGTCCACGCTCACCCTCGGAAAATGCCCCTTCAACCCCGTTGAGGCCCGTGACGAATAGCATCAGCGCTTTCACCGAGAAAAGAAAGCAGACACGTGGACCTAATGTTGCTTTTCCGGAAGAGAGAGGAATAGAGCTGGTAATGAGAAGTGGGAATGGTGTTGTAGGGTAAGGAAAAGTATCAGGCTTTTCTGCCCTCCCGCCATCAGGATAGATGAGGGAACCCTGTGATCTTGAATGCATGCCTGATGGCGGCACCTGCAGTGGGTACACCTGGGCTAAGACTGTGCTTTTAAGGGTGGCGTCACGGGGACACCAGGAGAAGCCAAAGCAGAAGCCGAAAGAGAAGCCGAGAAGCAGCAGAACGAAGGCCAGAGAGTCCAGATAGAGTGAAGACTTGCACCCCTGCCTGCCATATACCTGGGGAACCCCAATAAAAGACCTACAAAAAACCACTGAGGACTCTGACTCCTCCTTTACCCGGTCTGCATAGGATCAAAGAAAACCTGCCCTGTGGTCTTCCTGACCCTACAGGTGTGTTCTTGGGAACACTTAGCATCACCTTGGCAAAGCTTCCCTGGGGTGACTGGCAACTGACCAGGCTTTGAGTGGCAGCAGAGAAGTACCCCCTCTCACTCCAGCCCTACAGGGTTAAGTGGAGCCCAAGTCCCATTTGACCTGGTGTAGGGGCAGGAGGACACTGAGCAGGATTTCTAAGACCTGAGCAGATGGGGTAAATGAGGAAAGAGTCCTGGAGCCCTCAGTGGCTTTTCAGGATTTTATTGGGATTTACCAGGTATACGGCAGGCAGGGGTGCTGGGGGGCCAGGAGGCTGGCAGGCCTCCTAGCCCCCAGCAAGTCTTCACTCTATCTGGGCTCTCTGGAGTTCTCTTGCGTTCTCTCTGCTTCTCCCGTGGTTCTTCCGTTTGTTCTTCTGCTCTCTTCTCTGTTTCTGCTGGCGTCCCCGTGACACTGCCCTTATAAGCAGCATGAGCCCAGATGAATCCCATCTACATATGCTCACACCCCACTCCAGGTGCCCGCCATCAGGCATGCATTCGGGACCACAAGGGTCCATCATCAATCCTAATGGCAGGAGGGCAGAAAAGCCTGATAGTTTACTTGCCCTACACTTGGCCAAAGACAGGCTAGGATATGTTATTCCTGTCCCTTCTTTCTGCCTAATTACATTGCTGAGCACAGGAGGGTTAGATGTCACCTGTCTCTGTTGTCACCTCTCCCAAGGTGTTCCACGCTCCTGGATGCCCTGTTCCCCACAACAGTGGTTCTCAAAGGTGGATGGACATTAGAATCACCTGGAAAGCTTTTAAAAACTCCACATGTGCAGGCCCCACTGTGTTCTAAAAGCTCATCCACCATGAGAAAAATCTATAGAATCTTTAACTCCTTTTTATCTAATTCCACTAACAGTGTGGAGCCTTCCAGTCTGAGGTCCCAGAAGCCACATGTACTTACAGAAAATGATAATATAGGACAACATACAATACGAGCATTTTCTGTTCGCATTTTGAGCCATTTTACTCTCTTTCCTGCCTCTCTGAAAACCCTGGGGCCAGCAGGCATTTCTTCCCCCATTGAGCTTCCAAAGTGGCAAAACTAATTTGGTGGAGAAGGGGTGTAAAATGACTTTTGCACAAGAGAAGTCTGGAGAGAGATGTTTGCCTGCAGTCAGGATGATGTGACCCTGCTGTGGTCGTCCCCGCAGATGTGGCATGAAACACACACAGTGTCATCATCACCAGGGACAGGGAGAGGGCTAATGACAACACTGGGCCGTTCCCCAAAGAGGCCAGGACAACAGGGCTGTAGGTCTCCAGTCTATATGCAGAAAAGAGAGAAGTGGGTTTTAAATGAACAAATCAACAACGCAGTCAGTTCCAAAGCTGAGAGGACACACGCGTGCGGAGGCCCCTTTCATTCCGAGGCAGGTGTGGGGAGAGGAGTGTGAAGAGAATCTGAAAGGCTCTGGTCTGAGGCCAGCCCCAGGGACCCGGCCAGTAACCATGACAATGTCTTCTTCAAGACAATGCTCCTGATGTGCCACTGCCCTCCCCTTGACAGTCTACAGGATTGTGTGCATGCACTTGGGGGGCGGGGGGTGGGGGGCGGGGTAGAAGGGTGCTGAGGATAAGAACAGGAAGGAAAGAGAGAAATCAAAGTTTAAATCTATTTTTAAAACTAATTTTGGGATCAGAAACTTGACCAGGCTTTCCTTTGTAAGTCCTACTCTTCTGCTCATAAAAACTCTCCTTCAAGGAAGAAGGCAGAGGTGCGACCTGGGAGATACACCTGGGAGGTAAGTGTCCTGGCTAACGCAGGCCGGCACGCAAGCCAGGAACAGGATGCTCAGCGGCCCATGAATAGAGACTTTACTTACTGACAGTTGCTTTGTACTTGATTATCTACAGTGGCATATTACTAAGTCATAAAAAAGGATGGAGACCATATAATCATAGTCATTTAACAGGATGTCTTCTGAGAAATGGGTTATGAGGCAATTTTGTTGGTGTGTGAACATCAGAGTGTCATAACACAGGCCTAGGTGGCACAGTTTGCCACACACAGCTTTGGGCCCACTGTCTGTTAAATGGCCCAAAGCTGGCAGTTTATGTGACAGTTAAGTGACACTTGACTGCGCTGCTTGCCAAGTATTACAGGCTGAACGCCGTCTCCAAAATTCAATGAAGTCCCAATATCTCAGAGTGTGACCTTATTTGGAGATCAGGTCTTTATGGGGGTGATCAAATTAAATGAAGTCATTTGGGTGGGCCCTGAGCCACAGAGTCGGTGTCCTTATACAAAGTCGGGGCAAGTTGGACACAGAGACAAGCACAGAAGGAAGATGACGTGAAGAGACACAGGGAGGCGATGGCCATCTAGAAGCCAGAGACTGAGGCCTGAAATAGATCCTTCTCTTCCCACACCTACCCTGCCTTGATCCTTGACTTCCAACCTTTGTACTGCGAGACCACAAAATCCTGCAGTATAAGCCCCATTTGTTAGGGTAGCCCCGACTAACTAATTCAATGGGTGTGGGGTTTCCTTTTGTGGCAAATAAAGCGCTTCAGCTCTGGATAGAGGTGGTGGTTACAACGCACTGAGATTACATTAGACACCACTGAATTGTTCACTTTAAAATGGCTAATTTTATGTTATGGGAATTTCATTTCAATGCAAGAAAAATTACTGACTCTGCTTCTAAAGCAGATACCCTTAAGCCAAACTCCTGTCAAGGGCTGGGGGGTGGGGGAGAAGGGATGACAGAAGGATCTATCTGCCGCTGTCTGCCACTGGACCCTACTCGGGTGCTCCAACCCACTCCCAAATGCCAAATGTATGAGATCAAGGACATGGACGGCACAGAGAAGCCATTAGCCAGACACGAGTCAGTCCCAGCTGCTCTCAGCTCAAGTGCTTCCTGCTCCGTGCAAAAGGGACGGACCAAGGCAGCTGGCAGCTGATTCACTGGCCGCCCAGCCTCATTGATCATTCTGGTGGCTCCTAAATGAGCCAGCGCAGGGCAGAGACCAGCCTTAGCTCACTATGATAGCGTCAGTCTGGGCTGACGGCAGACGCTGGACACAGTAATGCCGGTGACATTGCTGGGGGAGGCAGGACACGCTGACACCGAGATGCTCAAGGTCCAACTATCGCCTCTTTCCTTCCCAAGCAAATCAGGCTGGCTTGCTGGTTGTGGCCCTCTGAGTGGGGTCCACCAGAAGCAGAGGTTTTGTCACTGTTTTTAAATCACAATTGGTCTCCAAGACTCAGGCATCAGGTGGTTTCTCAAGGGGGGAGCATGGCGGGACAGATATTCTTTGAACCATTTGTCTTAAAATCACCAGAAACCCATAAACATGTTGAATTCTGGGTCTTTCCAGGCCTTTTACATGCAGACTCCAGGGCAGCAGGAAGGTGGGAATCTTACCGAAATACACAGTGAAGGCTGAGATCCACTGAGGCAGGAATGGCAAAGCATTAATTAGTAGTTAGTCTGTACTAAATGATGTCAAGGCCAAAATGCTCCACTTTTAGGAGGTCCACTTCTTTCCTCATTAATACCAATTTCTTGCAAAGTCCCATCCCAGAAAATACCATATCCCCGGTCACCAACTCCAAACACATGGGTATGTCAAATGAAGCCTGCAAAATCCAAAGACTCAGAAGGAATCAGAAGACTGATCAAGGACTTGATAAGGATGATAACATAGTCTAGCTTAATTGACAGCCTGTTAGTGTAAGACACCCATTAAGTGCTTAATATTCATTTCTAATAGAATGATTCAGCCAGGTGGAGTTTACAGATGAGGAAGTTGAGTCACAGAGGGACTAAAGATGTTCTCCATGCCACCTGGCTTCTAGACGGCAGGGTTGGGATTCAAACACCCTAGTTCTGTCCTCTTTCTGCTCTGCCCAACTTCAGCCTTATTTTTGTCACAGGTGAATTGCTTTACCAAATCTAGGCCTTGCTGTGATTAAAAGGGGGGAGAGAAGGTAAAAAAAAGTTCAGTCACTGCCTCTGAACTTCACTATTTCAGAAGAGGAATAACAAAAGCCTGATATCATTTGAAAGATCAAAGTTGTTTAAACTGTGCTCACGTATGGAATGGGGGAGCAATTATGCGCTAACTTTGTAACATCTATTGTTATAATTTCAGAGTTTGGGTAATCATCATTACAGGCAATCACGATTAGAGACAGTTCCTCGCTGCAAGGCTGAGCCTCTGTGCGAGCCATCCTGAGAACAGTTACCCCAAATAATTATCTCCGGAATCAAAAACCATCATGGAGATTCAGATTTGCACTTGCACACAGCACTGTACGCTGGGTACAGCCGCAACTGGAGAAGAGGCAGAGCTGCCTAATGTACCTGGAGAAGCAGGGATGGTTTTATCAGTTTTACTTTTTTGCAAACTCTAGGATAGGGTACAATCAAGTTTGATTTTTCACAGTT